ATATAATATATATACATATAGATACATATGTATGTGTAATTAGGAGCTCTTGTATCGTGGTGGTTTCAAGTCTGGCTACGACCCTCAAAGTCAAGCTGTTCAGCTTACTCCTTGGAAACCCTATACAGGGTTGCTATGGGTTGGAACCGACTCGACGGCACTTAACAACAGCAACAACAACAATAACAGGTGTATGTAAGGAGTCCTGGTGTGGTGCTGTGCGTTAATGTGGTGGTGGTTATGTGTTGTGGAGTCGGTTCTAACTCACAGCAACCTGAATTGGGTTTCCGAGGCTGTAAATCTTCACAGGAGCAGACAACCCCGTCTTTCTCCTGAGAAACCACTGGTAGTTTCGAACTGCTGACTCTACGATTAACAGCCCGCCTCCTAACCACTACACTACCAGAACTCCTTGTGGGTTAAGTACTGGACTACAAAGTCAGTTTGAACCACAAGGTGGGCAAGTTCAAGCTCAGCAGCTGTTCCTTCAGTAATCCTATACAGGGTAGTTATGGGTCAGAACTGACTAGATGGCACTTAACAACAACAATAGGTGTGTGTAGGGTTGCTGTGGGTTGGAACTGACTCACCAGCACTGACAACAGTAGGTGCCTGAGGAGTGAAGTGGGTAGAAGTATGATTATGGTAGTATCCCTATCTTAAAACAGTTTATTCATGTATCTTTTAAAATCCCTACCCTGCCTTTTTTTGGAGAAATTTGAAAACTAGAAAGTACCGCATACATAGGATTGTATGGTATTAGTTAGTAAAGGTAACTGCTCTTAATTAGTTTTGTTAGTGGTGTTAGGTGCCTTTGAGTTAGTTCAGACTCATAGCGACCCTGTACGAGGAGCTTCTGGTGGGTTTGAACTGCTGGCCTTGGGGTTCGCAGTCCAGTGCTGATTCTACAGTGCCACACCAGCAGTCCGTTGTTAATTAGTAGGAGAATCGATTATTAAAGTAGATGATTTTAGTAAGAATTAATTCAGTCAACATTTGATGTGTCCGAATACAATTGTGAACTCTGTGTGTGTATGGGAGTGGGTGAACCAAATACAAAATGAGTACAACTCACTATTGGTCAAGATTTCATTTTCTGTCAGATGTACAGACTTAAACCATTATTGGTAATGATAATATCTGCTATTAGTAATAATTAGGATAAATTACTTCTGTGATTTTTAATTTAAATTTAGAATGGGAAGAATTCTGGATAAAACACCTTTACACAGAGCCTCTCATCTATTTGATCAGTATCACACAACAAAGAATTATAATCAGAATTTTAAGTCGATACTTCCTTTATACTGGAATGAGGAATAATGGGAAGCAAGTTTTTGAACAGACTCTTTCAGTTTTGACCCCTCCTGAAGTTACATTCCACCCCAGATATACTGAATCAGAATTTGCATTTTAACAAGATCTTGTGGTGATTCTTAATAGATCCTTAATAGAGAGTTGTTATTGTTAATTGTCGTCTAGTCGGTTCGGACCCATAGCGACCCTGTATAGGGTTTCTAAGGAGCGACTTGTGAGCTTGAACCACTGACCTTGTTGTAGTTTAAATGGCTTTGCAGTCTGCCACATCAACCCACAACGCTACACCAGGACTCCTTAATAGAGAGTAGAACTTGCAAAAAGATGTAAGTTTTAATTCGGTATATCTGGGTGGATAAGAAACTGTTAGCAGGTGGTAGAACCGGAATTAACTGGTTTGAAGCCGTGTTGGGAAGCTAATTAATTTCATTGTCATCAGTTATATTTCATGAACTATTAGAAAATACAAACCTTTAGATCCCTTATAAATAATTGCATAAATGGAGTAAGATCTTGATAGGTAACTGAGATTAAGTTGGAGAAATGTGCTCTTATTTTGCTCACGAAACAGTTGAAAGACTGGGTCATAGATTCCTTTGGTTATTGGGCTTTAAATATTAACGGTAATAAACTA